TTTTTTGTTAAAAGAAATGAAGCCTAAATGCCAAACTAGAATTCGCCGGGGATACGAAACCCCGATAATATCATGCTGAGGCCAAAACCCCAAGCTAGGGGGAGGAGCAACCAACTCGCAAAGACCAACCGAGAAGATAGATGCTAAGCTCGCCAAATGATCGGCCACAAAATTGGCCTCTATGTGCACGTGACAAAGTCGAACAGTCGAATTCTTTTCAAATTAGCAATCGTTTCACATTAAAAATCTTTTATCTTACTGAATTAGTGGTGCTAATTTTGCCTAATCCACTACTAGAAGTCTAGAAGTTCAATAAGCGTAACCCTTTCTGCTCACGCGTTAATTTTGTGTTGAAGAGCAGCTAGCTATTATACTTCTAGAAAATGTCAAACTATTCACGTCTTTAATACTCTTTGAATTATCTTTGATCTGAAATATATATAGCTCTTTTCATGACAATTTACCAGACGACTTTGAAAATTTTCATTTAACAGTACTTTGGCAGGGCTTTGTAGCTCATTCCGGTATTATTATCATATTTATTGGTCCATGTTTAAATTTTCTTTGTCTAATTGGCGCTTCTATCATCTTTTAAAATTAAGAATTCTGTCGTCTTCATTAATGGATGATTCCCAATTTTAGTCTTGGGAGCATGCGGCATTCTGATTGTTAGGCTATACAGTGAGTTTGGTTGGACTTCTTTGCAATTTTGATATCAAGCGAACAATTGATTCCATAGTGGTGTCAACTTTTTATATACAACAATGAAACATACTGTATCTTCTGATGACTTAAATAAAGTCATTTATTAAGTCTTATATTTATATAAATGAATAAAGAAAAATGTACGGGATATATATAGTACGTGACATGTAATAGGCCAAAATGTGAACACGGGTGATGCACGAGGTGCACAATTTTAAGGTCATTTATTAGTACAGAGTCCGTGCGATGCACGGGGTGCACAATTTTGTAGTATGTGTAACTGTATGCACGGGACAAAAGCACTAAATGAGTTATTTCCACAGAGCTTGCCCGTTAAGTAGTTCCTGAACACGGGTGCACAATTTGTAGTACGTACCATAAAATCAGAACAGATTTCCATAAAATTAGATAATAAATAAAGCATTTTTTTATTTTAGTAAAAATTTTACGTACTTTTTTATTTCCATCCAATTTTGTAGGATGCATTAAATATTGATTAGATTTTATTTGTAAAATAAAATAAAAAATAACTGGAGTAGTTTTACATATTGCAATATTTTATATTTAAAAAAATTAAAAAATCTTATTTTATGTATTGCATACCAACATTTTAGAAATTACATGGATATTCCTAAATTAATATTGCATACCCAATATTTTAGGAACTAATTAAATGCTGATTTCATTTGGATACTAAAAGTATTAGATGCATTAATTAAATGCTTGATAAAAATAGCAAATCATTAATTAGAGTTGACTATTCAACATACTAGATTTGGTAAATAGTATAACTTTTAATATAAGTATAGATTTGTTGAAAAATATTGTTGTCTAACTATTAAGTCTGCATGACAATAGTCTTACCGACTCAAAAGTGTATCATATGTTTATGAAGATGAATTATTCGAGCCAGTTACTTTATTTGGTTGGATTTTATAGATGTTAGATATCAACTATATTAAATCATAACATGTTTTGTTAGCGATCTCTTACACTTTTTGCATCGTATGTCTTTTTTTGGACTATCTTAGGATTAGAAAATCATATTTTTGTTAAAAGAAATATGCGCAGTTTCATGCTAAAATATTATATTATAAAATACAATATACACAAAAGTATAATATTTCATGTATAAATATGCATGTTTGTATAAAAAAATACTATTGTTGAACGGTTAGAAAACTGATGGCGGAAACAAGATCGCCCTCGTGTTCCTCGATGAATAGGATCGACTCCAAATTTAATTTATTTATTTCTTAACATTATTCTTCCTAAATTGGGCTTTCGGAGCCCAGCCCATTATTATAAATTCTTACTCCATTTTACAACTTTTTTGAGCCCAGCCCAGCCTAGCCCACGTTTCTTCAATTTATTTAAAGATGAATTGGGCCATGTTACTACATAGTCTATATCTAGAGGAAATTGCATCCTCTACTTCCTCTTCCCTAATATATTATAAATTTACCACCATTAGTTAAATAATTATAGAATCACCAAAAACATCATAAAATATTGCTAATTTACCTAAACTAATGGTGTTGCAGTTATATCCGATAATTAATGAAGATTAAACCGATAAGGACGTTTCATTTTTTCTCGCGACAATTCGGGAAACGAGAATATTTTGCAGAAGAAAAAAAAACCTCCCGTCAATGGCGAAAACCAAAATCACCCGCGATCCTCGGAGAAAAACGGCGAACGACGGTGAAGAAACACCGCAAATAAGGTCAAGTTCCCAGCTTCGGAATATCATTTCAAAATCAAAGCCCAAACTCGTTCAGAAGAAGCTTGTTTTGAGAAAAAAACGAACCCTAACCCTAATCGCAAGTCCACCAACAACGCAAGGATGAAGAAGCAAGTTCCATCCTCTGATTCAGATGATTTCCAGTCCGACCACGGCCGTAAAAATCCAAAAAACATGCGGCGGTACCCTAAATCCAAAATCCCCAATTCCACTGAGAAGGGTAATTCTTCCAACTCCGACTTTGAAGATGAAATTCAACCAGAAGACGTCTCTAGTGAAGAATATTCGAGCGAAGAGGAATCCCCGGTGGAAATTTTCAACAAAAGAAACAAAAAAAGGATTCAAAAAGAGAAAGGGGATATTAATCTGAACAAGAAAAGAAGAAAACCGAACCCCGGCGTGCAACGTCTTCAGAAGCAGATATTGTTTAAGGTAATTTTTTTTTCACTTAATTGGTTTATGTTAATGAATAATTGTCATGGTCATCACACTGGTCGTTGAATAAATAATCTTGTTCTGTAGCCCTAAGTTGATGATTTTTTTATGTTTTTGACTATTTTTGTTATAATTTTGTCATGTTTTGTAACACTGTTAGATGAAAATGACTGTACGTGTGTGCTTTTTTATTTTCTTTAGTGTGCTGATCCTTTCAGTCTTCCAGTTATAATGTTTGTAATTCCATTGCTGCTCCTTTTTATAAGTCAATTATATGATATGAGTTTTGACAATTATGTGGTATATGTACATCAGACATACAACAAACATATACTCTATGGAGTGTATATCTCTGATTAGTATGTTAATCATTCTGCAAAACTGTTAAGCAGACGATGAATGTATGAGAATTTGCAAAAACAGAGTATATATTTGGTATATGTATGTGTTCCCATTTTTTTCATATTCAATTTCATCCTCTGCTCCAAGAATGAATCTTGATAATTTCACAGGACATGTAAAACTCATAAGCAGAATAGGTTTGGCTTATTATATGTCAAGTATATGGAATTGTTTTTTGGACAAGTATGCTGTATATTTATCACAGACACATACAATATATATACTCACTCAAGTGTAAAACATCATTAGATTCTGTGAACAATTATATTCTTGTAATAAGTTGGGAACAAGTATATGCTACTAACCTGTGGAACAATCTGTGAACAGTATGATTAGTATATGTTAGTATTCTACATTATCGTGTATGAAAAAATATATATTTATTTGTTTTGATTATTTTCAGGAGTGGGAATTGCTGATCCGTCATCCAAGGGATATAAATGTGAAGATGCAAAACAGTAACGACAACAGCAAAGAGAAATGCACGATAAGTGACATCAAGAAAACGCTGACGAAGGAGCAATTGGAAGCTTTTAGAATGTCAGCTTTTGGGAAGTTCTTTGATCTGCCACACTGCATTGTCCAGAACCAGCTGGTGAACTACATACTTTTACGCGAGGTTCATCAAGGTAGGATAGATGAGATCTGGTTCGACTTTAGAGGGAAATTCCTCCGATTTGGTATAGAGGAATTTGCTGTCGGGACTGGTTTAAAGTGCACTGGACTTAGTAAGAAACTGAACATTCCAAAGATTGCCAATGTTCTGCACGACAAGTATTTTGCTGGTCTTGAATTAACTCGGAGCCACATCAGATGGCAGTTTATGAAAAAATTGTGGGCGAGCGATGAAGATGCTGTGAAATTTGCTAAGTTGCATTTCTTAGCAAATTTCCTCATGGGCTCTCAAGTTTCCCTTCGCATAGACCGCTGTTTCGTTGACATGATTGACAGTCCAGAGTGTGATGATTACTCGTGGGGAACCGCTGTCTTTCAATTTACCCTACTGTACCTGAAAAAATCAATTCAAACTAGAGAGCAGATGCACATATCTAATAACGACGAGGGAAGCAACCTGTATCGGTTATATGGTCTTATATTGGCTCTCCAGACATGGTTTTACGAGGTTTGTGACACGGCTGATGGTGTAGTCGCAACAAACGTGGGTGTACATGATATCCCGAGGATAATCAAGTAGGAAGTTCGTGAACCTTGTACGCGTAGTTTTGTACAGAGAACCTTTTCTAACATTGATCACACTAAGGTAAATAATAATGTTTTCGTTTTTTTTTTTTTTTTTTTTATCATATATCTGCTGGAATAATACATTTTTTCTTTTTCCTTTCTACAGTTCAATAACATAGTTCCTACCGAGGCTGAAAAACAAAATCTTTTGTTGGACTCATTCTTCAGAAAAAGAAATGAGTTCACCCGAAAAAATACTCCATCAAGTTCCGCACCGCAACATACAAATGAAGATTATGTTATAACCCGCCTCGACACACTAACTGCTGAAGTCCAGACACTGAAGGAAGCATTCAATGACTTCTCAAGACGGGTTTTTGAGGAATTTGCTTTGTTTAAAGAAAAATTCTTAGTAAGTCATAATTCTCTCTTTTTTTTTTTTTTTTTTTTAACTATATATGTGCTGCTAATATACTATATTTGTGGTTATATACACAAGTATTTTATTGCTTCTTTTACATGGTCAGATTATATGTATTTTATATAGAGCACACATATAAACTGATTAGATCTTCTATAATTAATAGGTACATCTAAGCTGAATATATAGTATATGCTTAGATTATATGTGTTCATATATACCACACACATTTTTCCTTCTAGGTTTGGCTATATAGTATATGTGTTCACATACTATATAGTTCATGTGTTCATATACTATATAGTATATGTGTTCATATATATTATATATGCTCAGACTATATGTTGTCTTTTTTTTTTTTATTATATATGCTCAGACTATATGTTGTCTTTTTTTTTACTATATATGTGCTACTAATATACTATATTTGTGGTTATATCCACAAGTTTTTTATAGCTTCCTTTATATGTTCAGATTGTATGAGTTTATATATACCACATATATAAACTATTTTGATCTCCTATAATTAATAGGTACATCTAAGTTGAATATATAGTATATGCTCAGATTATATGTGTTAACATATACCACACATATATTGCTTTCTATAAGAGTAAATATCTGAATGGGGGGAAAAACATTGTTATTATGATTTTTGACAAATGGATGTATCTATATCTAAGTAATATTCTGTTATTTTTGCAAAGTCCCACTGTCCCCTGTTCCTGTGGAAGTACCCTTTAATATTATCAAAGATATATTTTGGTATATCAAAATTATATTCTAGGATAATTTTGCTAAGCCCCATTGTCCCATGTTCCTGTGCAAGTCCCTATTAATATTCTAGTATATCTAAGTTATATATTCCTGTGCACATACCTTTTTTTTTTTTTACTGTGCAAGCATGTTATGAGTTTTTGTTATAGTAAGTCATCAGATAATATGTGGTCATATATACCATATATATAAACATCAGAGATGTTCTTTTATTTTTAAGTATATATTTAAACTGATTACATGTTCCTTGATAACTTAGGGTGTTCCAAGTGAAGAGCAACATGTCGACAAAGGGAACACGAGTGAAGATCTTGGTGGAAGTGGAATGCTAGATGATAGTATCCACATATCAGCTGGAAAAGAGACGGTATTTTATCATCCATTATATATTTGATTATAAACAAATATATTAACAATTATATTTAAAATTAGCATGTACCACATTATGTAAAATTTTTTTTTTTTCTTTATATGTCTGTAGCCTTTTCACAAGCCATCTAATGTGAATTTTCAGAAAACAAACGAGGTTTCAGAATTTTGTTTTTTCTTTTTTACTATATCATTATAGTAAAACATCTTGTTCTCTTTTTTACTATGTGAATGTCACAATTTTTTTTTTTTTTTTTAAATGCAGATCACTGTCAAATCTCATACAAGAGCATTTAGAACCAAAGCCGAAGCACTCATGAAGAGAGCAGCAGACAGAGTAAGCATATCTTGCCACCATATATATCCATTTTGTTCTGTCCTGTATCAATAAAACTCTCAAAATTTTATTGGTTTTTTTTGTATAGTTTGTACCGGTTCAAAATCCCCCTAACCCTGATATCCAGCAACCAAACCCTCATATCCAGCCACTCAATCCTGATATCCATCCGCCAAACCATGATATCCATCCACCAAACCATGATATCCATCTACCCAATCCTGATATCCATCCACCCAGCAGCCCCATTGACGACGATGACAATTTCCTCTTGATCAACACCCAGTTTATTGAAGAGGTTGACACGACTGTCCAACAAAAATTAAGTGAAGTGCCAGAGGTCAAAGAACCGGTAACTACATATCTTTGTATTCAAATGTATATGTTAGTTATATACATATGTACAGTATTACAAATGTGGGGTTTATATATGTTCGATTTAATTCAGTTGCTTGTTTATATTATATACATACATGCAGAGAGGTTTCAGTTATGAGCCACACCCCATATTCGGTTATGCATTGAATGGATCTCAGCCTTCGTTTGACGCCATAACTGTTGTTCTACCTCCAACGCAACCATCGAAGAAGACTATCCCAGAAGAGGTTAATAATGTAAGTCTTACCACTTCAATTTTGTTGTTATCTTTAATACAATTTTGTTTAACAATAATTTTTTATTTTTTGTATAATTTTTATCACTATATTTCAGCCTGTCGAGAAGAATGAGATGGTAAAAGGAGAGAACACACAGCTAATCAAGCAACAACAACAGCTCCCGTTAGTTGTGTACAGTCCGAAGAAAGACGAAGTGAGGCGAACCAAGAAGCCTAAGAAAACAATGGAGACCAAAATTTCCACCAAGAAACAAAAAAGACTTCAGAAGCCTTGCCCATTCGATGTTGGGTTTCGCATAAATGTTTCTGGGGAAGTGGACATGAAAGAATTTAGAGACTGGATTGGAGAGGGTTTGCTCAAGTCGGCTCCTCGCAAAGTCGAAAACGGGTACTACTGATTTTTTTTCCTAGTTATATAATAAGTTTAATATACATCAAATATAATAAAAAATAAAAAAAAGTATTAATATCATCTACTGTAAATATGTCGTACATATAACTTAAAATTTGTCATTACTTTTTGCAGTTTGAATTACTACAAGGTCAGGAGCAAAACTATGCCATCTTCTTTTCATTTTAACGTTGTTTCAGTGACGGACAAGAACTGGTTTTACGACATATTCGAGATAGGATGCTTCCTTGACTGCAACGTAAATAGCATTTTTGTACAACACTTATTTATATTTTACTTGTTATATCATATATATTTTTTTTCATACAGTTGATCACTTTTGTTTGGTGTTATATTATAGTATATAGATATTTTATTTTTAAGTTTATCCATATGCGTTGCTTATGTGTGAAATTTATTTTATTTTTTTTCTTCAGCACATGGATGTCTTATTCTACTATCTGAGGAAAATTGGATTTTATGCTAAATCTGCCCCAGTCAGGTATACAACGACTGATGTGTTGTTTGACCAACACATTAAGTCGTTGTACGCATTGTATGTGTCTCAGTCTCGTAACAAGTCTGTATGCAATGTAGACGATATGATCATTGACTACATGCTGGGATATAAGATTATATTTGGTGTTTCTTGGGCCAAGGTTGATCACGTCATGTTCCTGATGCATTTGGAAATAAACGGTGTGGGTCATTGGATTTTGGGGCGTTTATCTCTTGCTGACATGAAACTTCATATCTACAATTCAATTCGCACAGTAGACTGCGATGATCTTGTTATCGAGAACGTGAAGGCTTACGTCGAGATTCTCCCCATTTTCCTTGGCTTGGTGAATCTTTCGAGTACTGGAGAGGCCGACAAAGTCAATATTGAGGTGGTTATGGTTGACAATCTCCCACAGCAGAACAACAAGTACTATATATGAATTTTTCAGATTTGAAATTTCTGGTAAACTATAACAATAAATATAAACTATAACAATTACTGTTATTATTATTATTATTATTATTATTATTATTATTATTATTATTATTATTATTATTTTCTTACTGTTTATTTTTTTTACATTGTCGACAGTGATAGGGGGGTATTTGTTGCGTCGTATGCTGAACATTTCATTTCGGGTCACGAGATCACCAAGGAGAAGTTTGATGTCACTTCGTTTAGGGAGAGATACGCATATTTGCTATATAATCATGGCCGAATGAAATAAATGAATGGATACGACAGTGATGATGAATCCCCTGGCAGTTCCCCCGACGAAGTTAGGTTTAGTATTTTGAATGTGGAAAAAACATCAGACATTTTTTTAAGTATTTGATGATTGATTTTCTTATGGATGTGATTGAATTTGGGAGAACATTGAACTTTTGTATTTTTGCTGTTGCATTTCTGATGGAAACATTAAATGTTTTTATTTTCTCGATTTTCATTCTGTTTTTTTTTTTTCTGGTATATTATGATGAACAGCTTGCCTTTTTTTTTTCTCTTGTTTATCATATATGTGGCATAAGTTTGGTATATTCTTGGTATATGTTTGGCAACAGATTTTCATATCTAGTGTATATGTCTAGTATTTTTTGCGTATATTTTCAGATCCAGGGTATATGTTTTTGCAATTGGTTGGTATATGTTTTGTGTATGTTTTGCATATGTGTGGTTTTACGTTTGGTACATGTGTGGTATATCCTTTGAAATACATCTTTATTATTCGTGTATGTTTTGTATATGTGTAGTATATCCAATGTTCAATTGATTTCTCACAGTTATATGTGCGGTATATCCAATGTTCATTTTTGCAGTTTCCAAATATGCAATAGCTACAATAAAAAAAAAAAAAATAACAAGTAATAATAGGAAGCAACAATCAACTTAAAAACCGTTCATAACATACATGATAGTGCAACAGGTTTCATCGTATTGGATTACGACAAGTTTTCACATTGTGCCCTTTCTCATGACACTTGTTGCATCTATTTTTTGATCTATGCTCCCATCCCGACTTGAATCGTTGTTTGCGTGGTCTTCCCGGCCTCACTCTTCCATCTGGGGGATTTACCAATCTAGGGATAGACGGTGCATCAAATTTGAAGGCTTGATTACCTTCTATTGGTATTACAGCTTCTTCATAAGTTGCCAACATAGAAGAGGTTAAGTAGTAATCAGAACAGAATGGGACCGGATCCAGGTGGAGTGACTTGATCACACGTATAGCATGCGGGCACGGCAGCTCGTCAACTTGAAAATGGTGGCAAGTGCAAGTCTTTGATTCAATGTCTACTATAAATGCCCTACCATTAGCCATCACTTTATACACTTTGTCACTGGCTTTTTGTACCTGTTACACATATTAGTATATATTTATTTATATTTGTTGGTATATGACATGAACATTATACAATAATACACACAAAAAAAAACGAAAAAAAATTAAAAAAAAAAAATCCCACAAACAATACAAACATAATATGTGCAGCCTTATTGCATAATATTATGTATATAGTATATAATCATTCATACCACGTGGGATTACAACATGTGTATGTGTTGTACATACTAGTATATGCATAATTATATAATCGGTAACAATTGTCAATATATGTATAGTATATAACCGGCTATAATTCATTAATAAAAATACTAAAATATAAATAACAACTCACCGAATATCTTGCTGTCGTTTGGTAATTCGTTTCCAACCACCTATGTGGCTTCTTTGCAAGAGGAGTAAAAGTGGCCTTTGCTTCATCTCTATTTGCCACATTCCACCTTTGTTGCATATCTCTAAGCGCCTCTAGTAGTGGTGTTATCGATAGATCACAGACGGATCGCATGGCAGCATTTATTGACTCCGCAGCGTTAGATGTCATGGTAAAATATCTATTACTGGGACAGTGAACCCTTTCCCACTTGTGAAATCCAATTTCTTCTAGATATGGTACCACATGAGGGCCCTTGCCCACTTGTGAAATCCAATTTCAACTTATCGAACTCCTCTAATGTGTAGGCCCTCGTTGCTGCAAAAAACTCCTCCTTCACTGCCTGTGCTTCGGTCTTATAACGCATCTTCAACTTGTTTGAGATGTGATACGTGCACAGACAATGCGCCGCATTAGGGAATACCTATATAAATTAATTATAACATTTCAGAGATATGCAAATGAACTAATAAAATCCATTGGAGATTAAATATTTGTAAAGATAAATTATATTACAAATAAAAAATAAAACCTACAATGTTACTGAACATATACTACTAGCTGGAGAAAATATTATTAAAAAGTAGAAACGAAAAAATAAAATATCGAAGGTGAATATATTATATGTCATAGACACAATTACCCAAGTGTTACTAAAAATATACCAATTACTGGGAAGATATATTTCTGTGGAAAAAAATAATTTGGGAAGATATATTATATGTCATAGACACAATTACCCAACTGTTACTAAAAAAATACCAATTACTGGGTAGATATATTTCTGTGCAAAAAAAATAAAAAAAATTGGAGAAGATCCACTACTACCTTTTCTACTGCGTGCCTTATGCTTTCGTGACCATCTGAGACAATGCAAAGACCATCCCTATCACCAACTACTTCTTGCAATTTGGTGAAAAACCAGACATATGAGTTGTTATTTTCGGAGTCAACAACGCTAAATGCAAGCGGTAATATATGAGAATTTGCATCTTGGTAAGAGGCTGTCAATAAAATTTCTCCATACACTGACGACAAAAATGTCCTATCGACAATAACGATTGGCCGACAATGCACCCATTCTTTTACAGATGCTCCGAGTGCCATGAAAACGTACATGAAATTCTTATCCCATGTGGTGCGCATCAGCACAATGCTACTCGGGTTTGAAGCACGTACCTTACTAAGATATTGATGAGCATAATCGTATGACTCATCAACCTTGCCACGAACTTCATCAATAGCCTTGCGTTTCGACCGCCATGCTTTGTGATATGTCAAGTTTATCCCAAACCGATTTTGCATGTCATCAATGATATCACCCGGATTATATGCAGCTTTATCGTTAGTGAATTTTGTCTTGATGAAACTACTAACAAGGGTTGATGTCGCTTGTCTCTGACTACTAGTTCTCACATCCAAACCACATATATGTTCAGTCCCTACGTGTCTTATCTTAAAGGTGTTTGAACGACCCACACGTGAAGCTTTCACAAACCATGTACAATCGCTCGACACACACCTGACATAAAATTAAAAGTGTTAGATAAAAAAGAATGTAAATTAGAAATAACATAGAATAACTTAGATGTATAAATATCTAAGTTAAATATAAAAGCATATAACTTAGATATACCAGAATACGTTAGATATAACAGAATATAACTTAGATATACCTGAAATAATATTGTTTGTAGCACGACTTGTCAACCTTGAATTGATACTGATGCTTTATAGCATGCATTGTCTGCATCATCTGTAAGGTTTCCTTATCCTTTAGTAAAATACTAGGAACAATACCAGAGTCAAAATTTTGCTCGTCAGACAACCGATTTCCAGAACCAGGGTATATATCCAGTATATGTTCGGTATATGCTGCCACTTCTACCATCTCTTCAGCCACGTTCCTCGCAAACGACAAGAAATTTATCGTGCCATCTGCTTTATCAAGATATCTGTCAAGCTCCGGATAAGAGAGTGGAGCAATGTTTGATTCGCAATTCAACGAACATATATTCACATCTTCATCAAACGAATTTTCAACACTACTCCGAGATTTCACCACAACGCACACCTGTAGTCGGCCTCTTTGGACACCAAAAACACATAGAAGCCAAGGTTGCTATCGCTGTTTATCGACATTAGTGGACTACCTTCCTTCAACTTATATTTTAGGTCCAGCACAATTGATTGGCGTATCAACCCTAGTTCTGCACACAATATACCGCATAATTCGTCGTAGCTGCTTTCTTTTCGAATAACAACACCTGATAGTTGGTAATTCACGTACTC